GTCGCTTGTCATTCAATACGATGCTGCAGACAGAAGGCGGGATCTGCTGCACTCGGGAACAACTTGACGGACACGTGCACAAGTTGGTGTACACACGTAGAAGCTGATGTACACAGAATAACAGAGAACAAGTTTACTGCAACAGTCTGTTATCCTGTCTGTCTTCTACTCTACACATACAACTGGAGGACATAACAACTGGCGACGAGGGTAAACACACAAAATCATAACAATAGCTGCTAAATACCGGAAAAAATATGGATAATTGGACTTCTATAGACCCGGCTACCTTAGAAAAAAGGAGCCGAATTTTAGAGCTAAAGCGTTCAATTAGTGCACGGTTAGACCTCGACAGCAATCAATTATAATCCATGACAGTAACCTACTAATTGCGAAGTCAATTCAGCTTTCGATCTATACAACGCGCATCAGTCCACTGAGAGATAATTATTTGCGTAAACGATCGCACGGCGTCTACGTGAGTTTCGTTCTTGCGAAATGAAGGCGATCTCTCTTAACTACTTTAAGTAACCCGCATACAACCGCGGTTCAAACAAAAGTCTCCCGCCATTGCAGGATGTGTATGTGTGTGACTATGAATCCAGTTACACAGTCCGCGGCCCAATACTGTCTGCGGAAACACGCTTTCTTAGCGTGCGAGTTTCCTATTTCCTGTAAACCAGCTGCATGCAAATTTGGACAATCATTTGACTAGAAAAAATTGTTACACGGATAAGGTTGCGGTCAAAGCATAAGTTAATGCTAACACCAAAGTTGGCAATCATCTATTATACCTATGAACAACCAATTACCTACTTGCATAAATGTAAGCATACAGTAGATTCCCTATCTCATGAAATGTCACTCAGAATTCTGAAATGCGTTTTCGATTCAATGATATTAATTACGTATGCTTGTAACAATGCCGATCGTACAGCCTAATCTCAGTATATTTTAGCCACGTCCGGATGCCGACTTTTTAACGAGCTTACTTTTGACAGCCAATAAAAAGTGTGTACTGTAAAAAGTGGTTACTTAAGTAGTATGCGTTTTCGTCATTGATTTTGATTGCCTTTATAAATTCAAATATATTTCATGGAAAACATAAGCGAAAAATTATTTCTTGTACTCGTTTAGTAGAAAATTGCGCCTTCTTCAAATGTTATATTTAAAGAAAGGGTATCTTTCGGTTTTAAGAAGTTTCTAATTATGAGCTTTTTTACGATTGTGAAGTGTTCATTCATTATACATCACATCCGTCAAGTTATTAATGCTGCCTTTACTGTATAAAGCATGCTCCACATCTGTTGCAATAATTTATGAGAAGTATGTGACTGCTTCCTCAAATCATTGGCGAAAAACGTACTTTTCCTTAAACAGGTTGTACACAGCGCGCAGGTTCTAAACCATGAATTCAAGTATAGCAGTCAGTAGGTTTAAAAATTATTCGGCAATTTAGAAACTTTTT